TAGGCTAATTATCTGTATTAGAACGTACTGTAGTGGGTGATATATGTCCACCACCTATAATAGAATACACTTATTTCTAGAATACACTAAAATCGTAGGGGATCACTCTTCAACATGCTGACGTTGCGTGATATCCAGGTGACATACGACGACATGTATAATGAAGACACAACTCAGTTTGAATATCAGCGTCTAAATGCCAATATAATACAACAGGTGTATATGCAGTTAACTCTTATAAGTAAGTATCGACCTCGGCCCCAGAAAAATAATACCACTAGCAAAATTAAGCTCCTCCATTATGGATTTCTCCTTAAATTTCAGCTCCCAACTTTCTGCTGTACTTGCTCTACTTCTAGCTCTCTGTGTTGGCAAAATCATAAGTGAAGGACTACTGAGAAGAAGCGAGAACAGAAAGCGAATTCCGCCAGTCGCAGGAACTGTTTTCCACCAGCTCATTAACTTCAAAAGGCTGCACGATTTCCACACAGAACTCAGCCGCAAATACAAAACCTACAGGCTTCTTGCACCAGGAAACAAGCAGATATATACTTCGGACCCTGCGAACATTGAGTATGTACTTCGGACTAATTTCAAGAATTATGGCAAGGTAATTACCATATGGTTTTCCAAACTCAGCTCGGTTAGCGTTATGGTTCAGAATAAGCAAAAGCTTTCGAATTCCTGTATAAATGAAAGAAGAGCACAAATTTCATATAAGTTCAAACAGGAGAAATAGTTCATGTCACGTTAAGACATTCTCTATGCTATATATGACGGTGTGGCCACTTAAACTTCTAAACTATTTTGTTAGCACTTTTTACCTTCAGCAATGAAAATGCTAATAATTAAAATGGTTTAATAATACTTGAGATGCGTCTCCAATAAACACCATTTCACCAATAATAAATAAATAAAAGAGTCCTAAAGGGATATTAGAATCAGCAGTCTTCATATATTTATAAGTTGACAGCAATTTTACAGTATTATGGATTCTACCTGCTAACATTATTTTTCCAAACATGTAGATGTTCTACAGGTGTGAATTCGTCTGATCAATTATCTAAGCACAATTCCATTGCTCATTATTGACTGACATATTTTGTTAGTTCATAAAAATTTACGTATACCAACTCAATAACTACTCTAATCTCTAATGGGTTTAAGCCAATATGAAGATGCGAATCAATAGCCCTCTAATACGTTTCAGGTATATGAATTTAAATTCTCTTTGATAAAAGCTAATTTGGAATAAATGACTGATTCCAGCACTAATTCATACTAAATGAATACAACTAGTACTTAATCTGTTATACTTGTGAGTTTAGCTCCTTACTATTAAGTATAATTTGATTATATTTCTATATCAGTGAAAATTATAGAGAGTTCTTCCTTCAAATTGTTAATATTATTCTACAATCTCAGGGATCATTCCACTATGAAAACAGCAGTGATCTTTTTGGAGATGGAATATTCGCAGTAGATGGTGATAAATGGCGCCAACAGAGAAAGCTGGCAAGCTATGAATTCTCGACAAGAGTCCTAAGAGATTCCAGCAGTACAATATTCAAAATAAATGCAGCCAAATTAGCTCAAATGATATCTGAGATAGGCAAACACAAACAGGCAATAGATATTCAGGTGAAAAAGCGAAGTTCTAAATTTCATATTGTCAAAGTCCCTAACCATTATACGAAAAATTCCAAAATTGTGGTGACGATTGAGGGTTATGTTTTAATATTCTAACATGCTCCCACACAATCAATGCCCTTTTTATGGGCCAAAACCTGGACTCATGTAGCGATGCCAATTTTTAGCAAATCTGCTACTGAACCTAGGTTGTTATGATATCATATCAAAGTCCTCAACTATTACACGAAAACTCCGAAACTGTGGTGACGATTAATGAGGGCTATATTTTAGTATTCTAACACATCTTTTAATTTTGATAAAATACAAAAAATCTCCAAGAATTTGTAAAACTATTGAAAAGCCCCTGATGTTTTAGAACTAATGCTTCCGTTTCCTCCTCTTAATTTTTCTATAAAAACACATATGGGTACATCATATGAACACATATGGGTACATCATATGATGTGTTTAATGACACAAATAGCATGCCTTCTTTCTTCTATTGAAAGATGAGATGAAGATTTTTTTTTCCCCCTTTTTTCTTTTTTTGTCACTAAATGGGACACATTATTTCCATGTCATTCTATTTGATAGAAAAATCAGAAAGAGAGATGTGTCGGTTTTTAAAACTTATGTAGGATTTCCCGATATTCCTACAAATCTCAGGGGGATTATCTGTAGTTTTCCTTTGATTTTTACCACTATCTTACCAATTTTACGATACATGTAACAGGATTTGTTCATGAAATCAACTATGGACTCGATATTTAAAGTTGGGTTCGGCGTAGAATTGAATAGCCTGAAGGGATCGGATGAAGGAAATCGGTTCTCCAACGCATTTGATAGCTCGAGTGTTTTAATAGCACATCGATATGTTGATCCATTTTGGAAGATCAAGAGGTATTTCAACATTGGACAGGAAGCTGAACTAAAGAGCTACCTCAAAATTGTTGATGACTTTGTTTACAAGTTGATTAATACCAAGATTGAAAACACTGCGAATCAAGAAAACGAGTTTGTAAGTCATTATTTTGAATTTTTAACCTGAGGTAACTTACAAGAAATCCTCTTCATCTGCATCTTATTTTTCAAGAAAAGCCCCTCTATCTCTAGAAAAAAATTCAACAAAAAAACTCCCTTCATATTTAAGGACCACCAACGAAACCATTTATTTTGTAACAAAGTTTTGTTTTCCAGACGTCTAGACTGACACTTGCACTTGGATAGATGTCTTAACATATGAACTTCAGAATTCACAGGGTTTGGGGAAATTAATAAGAAAACTAAGAATAAAGTTAATTAGTTCCTAGACAAAAATTCAAATCTATTGTATCATCAACCTAGAATTCTGCATGCGTACGTCCGTCTACTTCTAGGAAACGAAACTCCATTATAAATTTAACAAATTCGTTATTGATAACAGATGAGGGGGTTCTCTTTGTTGAACTTTTTAGAGAAGGAGTTTCAACTTTGAAACGAGGAAAGTTTCTTGAAGAACAGGATATTTGAAGGATACTTCTTGTAATTTACCCTCTTACTTAACGAAATACTATACCTTGTGTTTCTTGGACTTGTTTTTTTTTTTAGGCCGAGAAAGAAGACTTGTTGTCTAGATTTCTAGCAGAGATGGAGAGAGATCCAGAAAACATGACACGTAAATATCTGAGAGATATTATTCTGAATTTTCTTATTGCTGGAAAAGACACGACAGCGGGGACATTATCCTGGTTTATTTACATGCTATGCGAGAATCCTCAGACACAAGAGAATGTTGCTCGTGAAGTGCAAGACGCAACAAAAAATGAGAATGATACAAACTTTGAAGATTTCGCGAATCTTCTGACAGAGGAAGCCATAGATAAGATGCAGTATCTTCATGCAGCCATAACTGAGACGTTGAGACTATTTCCATCTGTTCCTCTGGTTAGCTAAACTTAGCAAAATTTTCGACTGATATAGCATAGGGTTGTTTGGTTCATTACGGCTGCAATTGCAAACAACTGAGAAATTTTGGTTAGTTGTAGCTTTTTTGTTTCGCTACAACTAATAATAAATTCAGTTGCAAATGCAGTCGAAAAAAGACCTCCGAATGCAGTTAACAGACTTGAACGGATTTAGATGTATGTCGCAGTTGTAAACTTTTTTTTTTTTTTTTTACAATGTTGGAAAAAGAAAAAAAAGCTGCAAATGCGACTTACAACCAGAAGCAATTGCAACCTTTTTAAATTATAAAAAGGCTTAAAAGCAATTGCTACTGCGACGGACCTAATGTCTCGTTTGGTACGTGGGAATGAATGAGAATAGAATATCAATTCTCACTTCACATTCCTTCCTACCAAACACAACCTCTTTTTTAAAGTTAGAATGTCTATTTCCACTTCTCATCAATTCTCACTTTATGTGGGAATGAGCATTCCCAATGAAATGATAGGGAATGGGTATTCTCACTTAAGTGGAATCAATAAAATATAAAATTTTAAAATACGTTCATTCCCACTTCATTTTATAAATTGCACCCAAACGTGAGAATGGAAATGAGTACTTCATTCTCACATTAATTCCATTCCGTTACTTAGTCTATTTCATTCTCAATTCCATCGATTCTCACGTACCAAACGAGGCGCAAGTACAACAAGTCCATAAAATTAGAATCTAATACCTCGAGACAAATAGCTGATACATTTACCACATATACTTTTTGAAGGATTCGAAAGTTTGCTTCTCAGACGATACTCTGCCCGATGGTTTTCACACGGGAAAAGGAGATGTTGTGTTTTACATGCCTTATGCAATGGGTAGGATGAAATACTTATGGGGTGAAGACGCAGAGATCTTCAGACCAGAGAGGTGGATTGATCCGAATGGGTTCTTTCAACCTGAAAGCCCTTTCAAATTCACAGCATTTCAGGTATGTGATCAAATAGATATCGTATGAGCCGTAATTAGAGACCTTGAGCAGGTTTATGTATATAATTAGATTGGAGAACGCTATTATTAACGTTCACATGTCTGGAAACTATCATGAATCATTGGAAGTCGTTATTAGTGGCTTATAATCTGCGAAGTAAAAGGTCTAAACTATCCTTGAAAATAAAAGAGGAAAATATCATAATATAGCGGATAGATTTAGTATACAGTGGTAAAATTGTAAACACATCATGTGGAGAAAAAAAAAACCATGACGACTTACGGTAACCATCGTATCTTAGTTTAAAATTGTCAATACAGTTTTCTCTAATTATGAAATTCGGAGAGGTTTTATACCGAACCATCGTAAGTTCATCACAGCTTTGTGAAATTTAGCCGTGAAATTAATAATGAAATATTTATACATGTCCGGATAACTTTTCTTTGTGTATTGTATTCAGGCTGGTCCAAGGATATGTTAATTTGCTTATAGGCAGATGAAGATTTTTGCAGCAGTTCTCCTTTATTTCTTCGAGTTCAAACTCCGCAATCAAAAAGAAGTTATCAACTATAGAACCATGATTACTCTATACATTGATAATGGTCTCCATGTATATGCTGTTCCAAGACAGAAAGTACGAGTCATGCTTTAGTTTGATGCAACTGTTTGAAATAATATGAGCTTGCTATGTACAGTGCAGGCTACATGTCTCTGGAGTATCTGGATACAGTTCAGGTTTTGTAATGTAACCATGTATTTGTTAGTTGAATGGTGTTCTTAGTTTCAAGTTTTAACATCCGACTGCATCTCCCAATGGATTCAACAGTAATCAATATGTAGAAATATACACATGGATTCGTTAACTGAGAAAGATGCACAAATGTTGCAATCTCACATAACAGCGTTAAAACAATGTCATTTTCCAACTCGATAGAAGCAATAAGAAACCGATATTAACTACTAATCATCCTAAAACAAACAATGTCATTTTCCAACTCGATAGAAGCAATAAGAAACCGATATTAACTACTAATCATCCTAAAACAAAAGTGAAACAGAACATCTCAAACACTCCTCATGTGGATAGAACTTTGACGGTCATCAAATGATGGTCATCAAAAAAGCTTCAACCAGCAATAAGCTTAAATTTTATGTCGCAAATGAAATCTCTTATCAATTTAGTGCAGAATTCAATACAAAATTGATTGTATAAGAAAAACTATCCATCACCATATACTATCAGAGTTTCATATTTCCCCAATTCTATTTCGAATGATCACACTACCCATCTGCAAGTTGGACCCCAGAATTCGTTCAGTAGGATTTCGCATAAAGGCAAATGAAGACAGTTGCAGCTGCGCTTGATCATTCTCGTCAAATTAAACAGTGAATGGATCATGATAAGCCTCTGAATGGGTTTGAGCCTTCATATCCTGACCTGCAAAGATAACAAGCAACTATTATAGACTATTCCTTGCAAATATTCAAACGCAATTTGCTCGAGGTCTGAATTTCTTGAATACTTTAACTCGGTTAGAACAATTAAGAATGTTGTGATAATAGTTTACAACGGAGGTGATGGCCCATGACAAATTTTAATTGAAGGATAGAACTCATGAAGTCCACCCCTAAAATTTCATCCTTATTTTTTATACATATACCCCTCCCCTCTTCATACCCAAATGAATCAATCCTTATTTTTGATACATATACCGCTCCCCTCTTCTCAAACCTTCTGTAGTTTATGCAAACCCATAAATTCAATCGAACACCTTCCCTCATGTTCTCTCTCTTCTTACTTGTTATGACACAAGGCTGAAAGCATCTTGTTACTTAAAATGTTATTTGAAGTAATTTAAAGATTACAAGAGTCATTAAATATTACACACTTAAACCCTTAAAATCTATATGTTTTCTCCAGTATGTTATAAAATGACTGAAAAACTCTCGCTCATCATTCTTATCTTGCTAGCTTTGATATAAGACTAAGGGTGTTTAGGTCAATTTCAATACTATTCGACCTATCCTAACCAGACAAGAATGTCCTAAAAGAATTGTAGACTTTTCCCACCTATTTTTGAATATGGTATAGTTTCAATGTTAGAAACAGTTTTCTCATACATACATGGAGCATTTGGTACCTATGATTCAAGTACCTATCCCATTCTCTTACCGTACGACAAACCCTAGCAAGCCACAAATCTTTTAACACCGTTAAACCCAATATATTAAAAATATTTGTTGAGATAAAGAGGTAAAACAATATATTATTTTCATTATAATAAATTCGATCAAACATACAAAGAAGGTTTTTAATTCTTTTTGAAGTAAAGGGATTGAATCCAATCAACATCTGCTAACTAAAATTCCGTTACATCTTGCATCTAAATGGGGTCGCTCAAGTCCAATGGAAGTCATCAGTTCACAGAAACTAAACGGCGTGAAAGCTAGAGCATCATCTATTTCCACTAGACGAACCACAAGTTTGAAGCCAAAATGATGTCTGTATCAGCAATCTAACAATGGCTACATTGATTATCAATAGACAAAATCTTACGATGATGCTATCTTGCCCATAAAATGGTTTATCCGGACGAAGCTTCTGTCATTCATGTAAACAGAAAATATGTTTTCTTATGAAAAGCGACCAGAAATATCCAGCAGCACTTTGTGAAGAAGTATCATACAGACATAAAAACTCTAATCTACATACTAATTGAGAAGCATAAAGAGAACTATAATCTTCAGCTAATCCAAACTCAATAATTGAAAAACAAAAATTAGAAAATATCTCGCAAAGTATGGTAAGGGCAGGAACCTATCATGACAATGAAGCGTCCGCCATAAGAGGAAGTTTAACTCCAGGCCTGTTTTCCCATCCCCGGCGGTTCCTGTAAGCCTCCACTGCCTGTAACCTCATCCGTTCTCTTGAAGCATCCATGAAAGATTTTGGTGCCTTCAAGAAAACATATTCGTTTCCTTTACCACCAACTTTCATCTTCAAAGCAATTGTAGAAAATCACATAAAAATCATGAAAATGATAAAAAGAAACCTTAGGGAAGTTCAACTTCGGGGGAGCCTCAACAATGTCACCAAATTTTATTTCTTCACGACCAGGAAAATTGTGAATGTCATCGGTATTCTCTTTCTTATTTTTCTTCTTCTTTGACTCAAAATACCTACAAAAAAGAATAGATATGAGATGCAGTGCAAAATTACTCATATAAGTTCAGAAGCTACAAGTTGCTGCAACGATGAGATATTAAACAATGGTAGAAAATAGCTACCAGGTAGAAAAGCATGACTAAGCCTAATGATCATTTCTCACTAAAAAATACTTAATATACTGTCGATATAATCCTGTGGATAGGAAATAAGGCCAGAGTCAGACTCTTATTAGAGGTTGGTGTAAGAGTCAGCTACTGCTTTTGAAGAATCCACTAGGGTTTTCAATGAGAGGAAATGAAAGGCAGCAAGGGAAATTGGGAATCAGGGTTTAGGTAGTGTCAGTGACGGTTTGGAAGGGGAAGAAAAGTGCAACATCAATAGGGCAGTAGATGAGCTTAATCTTAAAAGAAAGCAAGTGACCAAATAGTAAACCATTGAAGAAGAGACTGCTTATCCAACATGAGACTATTCTATGATACAACATTAAATATCTGGAACCAAACCAACACAACATACTCTCAGGAGATGAACTCAGCACAACAGCTTGAAACATCCAACTAATAGCTTAAAGTTGTTAACTTATGAGTTTGATTTCATAATGTTTTGATGATAACAAACTATATTTTGCATGCATAGTATTTCTGAATGTTTTTAGGAATATGAAGTGATGAAGTTTGGAAGCGGTAGCTTTAGTGCTTCGTGGTAAAACGTTCAAATATAACGAGCACAAGCTTCAAGATTAGAAGATTGGTCGTTAACGTCATACAATATGAATGCATGAGGGCTTAGCTTCAAAGAGAAGGAAATATGCACATCAATTGAACTATGATGAAGATATGCAACGGCATTGAAGTGTTTAGGTATTACCTGTAAACTCCTTTTTTTAACATCAGTTAATTTCAGCTTTGAAGCACTTAGGATTCTCCATTCTGTTACAAGTCCATGGAATCAAGTTTTGAGTCCACCAAATCTAGTTGGAACTTTTTGCCTTTTCTAGCTATTAAAACGGGGGATTTGGTGATTTCTTGACATTCTAAGTTGGTTTCAGATATATTTTGAATTTTAAATGGGTTTGACTTGGGGAAAAGTTATATTTGGTATAGAACGGTCTTATCTCCCACCAAAAACCTGTAAATAGAGCTTCATTCTCACTGAGAAAAAGCTAATGAAGAAGGGTGAAAATAGAGAGAAAATATGAGAAATTCCCAACTTCTTGAGCTTATATTTTTAATCTTTTTGAGAGAAAATGTGATTATTCACAATACCTTTAGCCATCTTGATCTACAACTTCTAATTCATTAGATGGTTTTTGGATAAAAAGACGTGGGCTTTATTGAATCTATCTTCGTCTTTTCACATCCGATCTTTAGCTAAGTTTTCTTCAACCAAGTCTATTATTCTTTGATTTAAATATCATTATTAGAATTGAACCTTGATTGGAGAGTCAATGGTTTTTGGGAAAATACTCAAGATTCTTCTTTCCTCAAGTAAGCTCTTTTCAGCTGTTCTATAAATGCAACTACATTACTATCGTCAATGAAGACATGAAAGTCTTTCCTACATCCCATACGCATGTTGATTACGTATCTACAATCAAAGTCATTTATCCTGGGTCGTACAAATAACAATATGTGAATGTGTTTTGCAGTATATGTGTTGATCACCATCCAAAAGGAGCATATATCCTATTTTGCACGCCTCAATACTTGATAAGTGCATGGGCGACATTGAAAAAAAAATGTTAGTATTTTAATCAAAGCGTGCGGGTTTAAATTGAGAGAAGTACCTTACTTTTTAACAGAAACTTATGTAAAATATTTGTTAACTTAATAACAATGTTTCAAACACCTTTTGTGAAGCACTTCGAGTCATGCTCCAAAGCTTTTTTAAGAGTAATTGCTTTAAAGCTCAAAAGGAGTTGATTTGTCCTAGAAGCATGTGATTCATTACCAAAAGTATAACTGAAGTGTGCCCTTCATGTCACATGACGCGCTTCTCTTTTGAAGCACACACTTCAGATAGTATAGGAGCGTTAAAAATATTTTGACAAAATTAAAATGCCCCCATCTCTTTGGTTTTTTCCCCGGTGTCAAGGATCTCCCCCTTTTCTTTTGCAACTACGGTACATCTGAACTGGATCTACTGTTTATTAAAGGGCAAGCAAGAATGATATGTTATTTATTCCACAATGCATGATCAATCTTAAGTTAGACTGATCAAGTTATTCATCTCAGATGCCAAATTACCTCAAGTTATTCATCCCAGACGCCATATTACGTCAAGGTAAATGCAAAACATGCAAATAGTTTATT